AGCCACCAATCCAATCCAAAGGGATAAAGCCAGACCATTTTGCAACAACAAAATACTACGGTATCCCGAACAAACAAGCCACACCGTTCTATTAATAGACAAGGCACGGTCGACGAAGGGGTTTTTGTTGTAACAGACAAAACCAACTTACGTGGTTATGCTACTTCGTTCAGGCTGAACGAAAGCATAACAAGTGGAGAAAGATGTAAATGTTTATAAATGCGGTTGTAAGATTTAGAAGACTTTCCAAGAGAATTTTAGTTTTATTTAATTCTTTGGTTCCTCTTCTATTGAGCTTACGATCTCGTCACTTGGGTAAAAAAATGTTTTTTGTCATAGAAGTTATTTTTAAAATAACTTCTGGGGAGAATATCCCAGACAAAAACAAGGGAACTGATGAGGATTGGTGGCTCTTTCCGAAACCTAGGTATTCCCTGCCTTACCCCCTGGTAAACATTACCATCGTTCTCCACTAATAAACAAACGTTGTTTTTATAAAAACAACAATAAAGGGATAAAGCCAGACCATTTTTCTTTTTTTACTTGTTAATACTTCCAATTAATTTTCATATAATTCACTATACAATTCAATCACTAAAAACATAACATCACAATAAAAGAAACGCATCAAAAATTACAATAAAGAAACGATATGAAATTTCAAAATCATAAAAAATTCGGAAGAAGCAAAAAGAGAAATGCCAAGAAAATGGCATGTAACCCTGTGCGGTGGCTTATCGTGTCATTTTTTCTTCTATCCTTGTCTCTCTACACCTTTTACCAACAAAAAAAAATGGCATGGTTAAAAAATGTCACCGTGTAAAGGCAGTGTAAGTTTTTACGGTAGAGTGTAATTGGCGCCCAATGTTGTGCATATTCACAACACAAATCTTTGCCCCATCAAATGTAGGTCGATTTTTGGTTTTGTTTTCTTTCTGTTTTACGCTCTTCTCATTTTTCATTTTCCAATTTTCAAAATTGAAAGGCTCTCGCTGGCGTTTTGTCAAGTTTGAGGGCGCGTTCGAGTAACTGTAAGCAACGTATGCCCGCCTGCCCATCGTTGTAGTAAATGAATTGAGTTAAGCCTTGTCATCGTCGTTGTCATTCAGTGCCTTCTCTTGCCTTGGCTTGTCATGCCATCCCAACCCTTTCCTTTGGTGTGTTCTAATTTTTCAAGGATATCACTATGATGGTACGCTCTCGTTCTCGACAAAATGCATTTGTTTTAATTGTAAACGAATTTGTGTTTACTAATGAAATTTTAATGTCGAAGTAGAATGGAGAAAAATCAATAACAATGGGTTGAAAGAGCGGAGGAGGTAAAGAGTAATTAAAAATGGGGGGAAAGTACACATTCCTTCGTTTAGTTTTTGACTCCGTAGAAAAATAATGTCAGAGAGTAACAAATATTACTCGGGAATCCGAAATGTCTAAATACAGCTGAGTTGGTCGAAAAATAGTTGATCAGAAATACCGAAAATCAGGAGATTATATGGATGCTGTACAAAAATCTGAACCCCAATATTGGAACTCTACAAAACTATGGACCCGCCATGAGTAGTTTTTGCCAAGAGTTAGCTATCAACTAAAATTCTTAAACACAAAACCAGTCAAAATTGGGGTGGGACCGACTATATGATATCCCTACACCAATATGCATATTTAATAGAGCTCCCGTGACCGTGAAGTAGATCATACCACCAATCAACCTTTGGCTTTTTATAATTTGGTTTCAGAGGAAACTAATATTTGGGAGGCATATCCAGTTCTGAATTGATTTTTACCAAATTTGACGGAGATATTTTTTTTATCTTTTATATCACTTATATATATTGTACACGTTTATTCTGTTTGGCAGTCAACTCACAACTGACTCGATTTATTCATACAACTCTTATTGTGTAGCAATGTGGTTATCGATTACTTGTTATCTTGCTACAGCTCGGGCAACCTGACGGTTGTGACCGCCCCGGTCACACGGGGTAAATTTAAAATAGACTAGAATACTTAAATAAATGGACTAGATACTTATTCTACTTAACCTAAACTATGTACAATCTACTACTACTATATACATTACGGGTCAGAGCAACCCTGAGTCCCGTTATCCGGATCGTTCATCTTCCATAAGCGCATGTTACATGCTTCTATCACTCCCTCATAAGGTATCTGGGTGATTTGACAATTCTCTATGTCACCAACGACATACCTGTCGTTCGGTAACACCTTACGCACGGTGTATGGCCCTTTAAATTTCGGAATTAATTTCTTATTAACCCCCGCGGTGGTGTCCACATTTTTGATTACTACAAAGTCACCTTCCTTAAACGAACTCACAGTAAGACCTTTCTCTTCAAATCTCCGCTCATTATATTCTTGCGACCTCGCAATGGCAGCCGCCGCTTTATCTCTGATCTCTTGGATACCCCCCCCCCCCCCCCCCCGGGTCCAAAAAGTTCTCCTCAAGGTATTCTGACAGTTTGTCCACTATCTCTCCTCTCTGGTTAACCCCAAACAAAACTCTACTAGGGGTGTCACCAATAGACCTATTTACAGTGTTGTTAAATGCAAACTCTATTTTGCTAAGTTGTTTCACCCAATCGGCGTGTTGTACAGGTTCGCTGAGTTTTGCTAGCATTCCTACCAAAGACCTATTTACCCGCTCAACCTGTCCATTCGCCTGGGGTGAATGCACTGCCACTTTCACATGATTTATATTTTTCTCTTCTAAAAAGTCGGCAAACTCCTTTGATGTGAAACAACTCCCTCTGTCCGTTACGCATCTAACCGCTGTAGTAGTCAAAATATTTGAGAAGCGCTGCATTTACTTCCTTGGTGCTCGTTGTTAAAACCGGATAAAGTCGAACAAATTTTGTGAAAGCATCGATTATGACTAAAATGTGCTTTCTTTTCGACTGCAATGATGGTAATGGGCCCAAATGATCCAAATGAATTGTGTGAAAGGGTCTGGGTTCTTTTGGGATGCTATGTAGTGCCCTCGCATTTGGTTTGTGAGGGGCTGAATACATGATACACTTAAGACAATTCTTTTTCTGTTCCTCTACTTTTTGTTTCATTTCTGGGAACCAATAGTGATCTTTTAATTTCAGATAGCATTTGTCAACCCCTAAATGACCTAACTTTTCATGCATTTCCCGTATCACTTCCATTTCCATGCTTTTAGGTACGAAGAACCGCAAAGAATCATTAATTTTTCTATATATAACCCCGTTTACCATATCATATCCGTTCACGGTTCTATTTTCAAGTTTCGACTTTAGCTCACTTATTTCCTTATCCCTAGCTTGGGCCGCACATAATTGGAAGTCTATATCCTCTATTTCGATTGTCGCTACTACTTTGTTACTATTCTCTGGTTCGATTCTAGACAGTGCATCGACGTGGGCCATTTTTTCCCCTGGCCTATGCATAATGGTGTAATTATAATTCTCTAGTTCAAGGGCCCATCGTGCAATGCGGCTGTTGATATTTCGTTTCCCCAATGTCATAGCTAGAGAGTTACAGTCCGTCATTATTTTGAATTTAATCCCTTCTAAGTACGCTCTAAATCTTCTCAGGGAATAAATTATCGCCAGTGTTTCCAGTTCGAAGCTATGGTACCTTGTCTCCGCGTCTGTCGTTCTCTTTGAGAAGTAGGCTACAGGGTGGAACACGCCATCATCCTGTTTTTGCAACAATATTGATCCGAATCCTATTGCACTTGCATCACAGTGCAATTCTGTTTCCCTATTCGGGTTATAAATAGCTAGGATTGGACTCGAAGATAACCTTTGCTTCAGCGTTTCAAACGCTTCCTTACGCTCATCCGTGATTTCATACTTGACCTCTTCCTTTGTCAGTTCATACAATGGCTTGGCTATTAGAGAAAATCCCTGTACGAATTTTCGAAAATAAGAGCATAGTCCAAGAAAAGCCTGCATTTCCTTAATGTTTTTCGGCATCGGGTACTTCCCGATTACTTCCACATGTTCGTCCGATGGTTCGATTCCTTTCCGTGATACCTTATACCCAAGGTATTCAATTTCACTATACGCAAACTTGCATTTTTGGATTTTAATTTGAAGCCCATACATAGCTAAACGGTCTAATATTTTCCTAGTAATTGGATATGCTCCTCCAAAGTCTTTGACGCTATCACTATGTCATCCATATAGACTACCATTTCGCCCCGCTTCAGAAAATCTTGAAAAATTCCGGCTATGAATCGTTGAAATACCGCTGGCCCATTTTTTAAGCCAAATGGCAGCCTTAAGAACTCGTATTGGCCATTCGGTACCACAAACGATGTGTATTTCACCGATTCCTCTTCTAATCTGACATGGTAGAAGCCTGACTTGAGGTCCATTATGGTAAACCATGATTTTCCCTCCAGGTACTCCAAGCAGTCTTCTATTAGTGGGAGGGGGTAGTTGTCCCGTACTATGATTTTATTCAGGGCCCTGTAATCTACGCACATCCTTACCTCACCACTTTTCTTCTTGGTTAGTACTATGGGCGAAGCGTAAGGGGAGTTGCTTGGTCGTATTATTCCCTTTTCCTGCAGGTCCGCTATAATTTTCCCTACCTCCTGTTTTTCGGCAAAAGATAATCTCCGAGGTGAACAGTAGGTCGCGTTTCCCGTCGTTACCAAAATTGACGCTTTGAAATCTGATGTCTTTGGTTCATCCTCTAGTTTCCCAAAATAATTATCTTGGATTAACTTATGTAGTAAACATTTTTCCCTTTCGTTTAATTTCGGGTTAATATCCCAGTTTTCCTCCTGTATCTCTTTTATTTCTTCTATTATACATGCTTTATTCTCCCATGTAATCTCTTTTCCCAATGTTTCTATTTCATTGCTGACTATTTCCCCAGCATCCGATTTCCCATTTTCTTTCATATTCTTACCATGTTCTATTGCCCCAACAGGAGTAGACCCTTCCTGTTGTGTGTTGTTTATTTCTGTTACCTTCCCTTTATCATTTTCAAAAAGGACACCATTTTCATTCGGTTTTACTTTTCCATTTATTTTTAGCAGCCCTGGATTTACTTCAGGTTGAGGGTCTGCTTTTAAAAATAAATTGATACATTTTTTCCCGAATCTGTCACAAAATTCAGTTGGGTTCGGGTTCCCATTTTTCAAACATAAAACAATATTAAATATTTTTAGGAAGTCACGCCCGAGCACCAAGGTACACGGGGCGCTATCAGGCAAAACAATAAAATTCATTTTTCTTTTAACACCTCCGAACTCTACAAATGCCGGAAGACGTCCGCATACTTTCAGCTTTCTACCGTCCAAACCCTTATATTTAGAAACTCTCTTTTTCTTCATCTGAAGTTGTGGGGACACCGACCGGATCACTGATTGGTTAACAAAACTACATGGGCTACCCGTGTCAAGTAAGGAAGAAATAAGATGATCATTAGACCCCGTGTTACTGGGACTCAGAGCTACTCTCACCTGTATGTTCCAATCTACTTCCTCCTCGTCTGGGATTGCCGCTACCGTCCGTAGTGGGCAATTGATCTTCATGTGCCCCTTTTTTCCGCAAGTGAAACACGCTATTGGCCGCTGTCCCTCTGTGCAAGTTGTTGAATAATGCCCATACTTCGAGCATCGGAAGCACTTGACTGTTGGCGGTGCCTGCTTCACCACATCACTTTTCGGCTGATATTGTTTTCGGTCCGCCACCATTTTCTCGTATTTTGGTATCAGCTCTTTAAATTCGGCTACCGTGACCACCTTGAAGAATATGGAAGCTGCCACTGATTTGTCTAGCATACCATCCACTATGTACTCCACTATTTCTTTCTGCGAGAGTGGAGTGTCTTCCGCTAGTTGTTGCATTTCTAGGACATACCGGTGTAGGCTTTCTTTTTGTCTGTCCCATTTTCTAGCGTCCAACTTTCTTAGAGCTTCCTTCGCCCCAACTACTCTGCCAAACTCATTCAATAATTCTTTTTTCAGGCCTTCCCAGGAATTTGACTTTGTGCTGCGTAAAAACAGGGCCGCGCTACCTTTTAACATACGCCGTGCATAAATGAATTGTTCTGTTTTAGAGCACTTCATTACGTTGGTTATGTTGTCAAATTCCTGTATCCACTTTGTTATTATTAATTGGTTGTCCCCTGAAAATTTTGGCAACGCACCTTCCACATCAGAAAATGTGGCAACACTTTTTCTTGTTTCCAACTGTTCTTCCAGCTCGCTAATTTCTTTCTTTAGTTTCAAGATTTTTATTTGCCTCTCTAATTCTTGCATTATCTTGTCTTGTTCGCCAGCATGCTCTGGATTGCTCGCTATTTCGTTTCGTTTACTTGCATGCCCTTCTTTGTCTGTTACCACCCCAACTGCTTGTCCGTTTGCATGCCCTTGTTTGCTTGCCATTTCTTTTGTTGTTGTTGGTGTTTGTAACAGAACATCTGCTTGTTGTCGAATCGTTGGCGTAATTGCGTTGTCTATATATATATATATATATATATATATATATATATATATATATATATATATATATATACACAAAATTTGATGTACTTTCTTCTAGGCTGAATTAGGTCGAATTTGTCATAATTCGCTTCATTTGGGCTGATATTAGCAATTTCGTGCACAATAAATCTGAAATCAGTTGAAGATATACATGAGAGCTACATCCAAATCTGAACCGATCTTGATAAAATTTTGGCAGAGGTATTTCTGGACTGTATATGATATCTAGTACAAAATATCAATCTGGTGGGGTGCATATTACGAATGTGAAGGACTTATACACCGAATCGGATGAAACATATATAGGGGAGCTATGTCTGAACAGATTTTCACTAATTTTTAAATACTTGCTTCCAGGCTGAATTGAGTCGGATGTTGAAAAATTTACTGGTATTGGTCATTTGGCGCACAACTAACCCGAAATCGATTGAAGATATATATGGGAGCTATATCTAAATTTGAACCGATTCTCACCAATTTGCATTGGGTTCGTCCTTGGGCCAAAGCAATATTGTTTGGCAAATTTTATAAATATATCGTTGCGGCTTACACATGTGACTAAAAAACAGAATTGGATGAAACATAATTATGGGATCTATACCTATATATTAACCGATTTTCATCAAATTTGGCTTATTTATTTCTGGGACCCATTAGGTCGTATGTGTCAAATTACATCCTATTTGGACAAATATTACACATTTCGTGCGCAATTAAAGGCTAATTGGGCGAAGATATTTATGGAAGCTATATATAAATTTTGGCCGATTATCTCCAATTTCAATAGGGTTCGTCCTTGGACCAAACAAATTATTTGTGCAAAATTCTCTCTCGAATCTCGATGGGGGTAATATATCCGACCTGTACTTTGTTTAAAAATATACATGGACAGACTGACGGACGGAGAGATGAACGTACATTCATTAATCGACTCAAAATGTTATTTTCTGCAGAGCATCAAAAGAAACTATGGGTCTATCATGCTTCGTTCTCTATGCTATGAATAAATGCACAAAGACATAATACCCTACCACAGCGTGGTGTAGGGTATAATTGCAAGTAATTTGATTGGAAATAGGGTCAGAAACCTTCACAATACCGAAAATCAGCAGGATTTAATATAAGGTCCCGAAATGTCCAACTATGGTTGTTTTTGGTTAAAAATTAGAAACAAAACTCGAAAGCCCGAAAATCGGGAGGTATCTTTATATGGGGACTATACCAAAAAGTGACCATATAATTAATAGTGCGAGGCGTTAAACTACACACTTTTAAAAAAACAAATGTCAAATTACAGCTCATGTGGTTGAAATTTGAAACCAAAACTTCCGAACATAAAATCAGGTTGCACCTCTGTGTGGGGGCTATACCAAACAATTGGGATACGTTGAATATTTTTTTTTTTTTTGAGGAGTTAAATTACCTACAGATACCAAAACCTGCATCTACATTTTGTTTTTTTTTTTTTCAGTGATTTAAAAATGCCTCCTGAAAACCTGAAATATCAAATATCAGTTGTTTTGTTATGAAATAGATACCATAGCTTTCTAATTGTCGAAAATTTGAGCTACCGTTATAGGAGAGCTACGCCAAAATATGGGACGATATAGTCCATTTTCATAAACAAATATCCAAGGAAGCTTTTGTTTTGGATAAAAACACGCTTCCTCTGTACTAAGCACGTTTTACACTATTCCAATAGGTAACAAGTAAAAAAGCTGTACTTTCGGCCGGGCCGAACTTTGAATACCCTCCACCATTTGGTACAAATTTAAGAATTTTCAAAAAACTAAAATCCGTTAAAAATTATGTTTAAATCTTAAAAACACCGAATGTAGCCGTATATTAGGGTCTATACGACGACCTGCATAGGCAACTTTTGTCACAAGCTATTACAATATTCAAATGCGAAACTTGAAAAGAAATCTGTTTGTAATGTAGCTAAAATCATCAAAATACCGAATATAGGTAGGTACCATGGGGGTTAAAAAACGTGGACCTCACAGACAATTTTCTGTCATAGGCTGTAGTATCCATTACGAACTTCAAATGCGAAATTTTAAATAGTTTCGGAAAATAATGTAGCTAAAATAATAAAAATACCGAATATCGGGGGGTACCGTTATATGGGGCTTATATGAAGACATGGACCTGCACAGACAATTTTCTGTCATAGGCTGTAGTATTTATTATGAAATTTAAATACCAAATTTTAAATAGTTCCGGAAAATAATGTCGCTAAAATCATCAAAATACCGAATATCAGGAGGTACCGTTATATGGGGGCTATACGAAGACGTGGACCTACATGGCTCATTTTTTGTCTTAGGATGTAGTATTCAATACGAACTTCAAATGCCTAAATTGAAATAATTCCAATAAATAATGTCGCTAAAATCATCAAAATACCGAATATCGAGGAGTACCGTTATATGGGGGCTATACGAAGACGTGGACCTACATGGCCCTTTTTCTGTCTTAAGCTGTAGTATCTATTACGAACTTCAAATGCCTAAATTGAAATAATTCCAGTAAATAATGTCGCTAAAATCATCAAAATACCGAATATTGGGGAGTACCGTTATATGGGGGCTATACGAAGACGTGGACCTATATGGCTCATTTTCTGTCTTAGGATGTAGTATTCAATACGAACTTCAAATGCCTAAATTGAAATAATTCCAGTAAATAATGTCGCTAAAATCATCAAAATACCGAATATCGGGGAGTACCGTTATATGGGGGACGTGGACCTATATGGCTCATTTTCCGTTTTATGCTGTAGTATCTATTACGAACTTCAAGTACCAAATTTGAAACAATTCCGGTAAATAATGTCGCTAAAATCATCAAAATACCGAATATCGGGAGGATATTGGGGGATATACGAAGACGTGGACCTACATGGCCCTTTTTCTGTCTTAAGCCGTAGTATCTATTACGAACTTTAGATATTAAGTTTGAAACAATTCCGGTAAATAATGTCGGTAAAATCATCAAAACCATTTTCAATACCAAAAGTCCTGCAGACATAATACACGTTTGTCAATCTACTTCATTTCGTTCGGCAGCTAGAGTGATTTCCACAGACGGACAGACGGGCGGACATTGATAAATCGACATAGAATTTTATGCTGATCAAGAATATATATACTTTGTGGGGTCTAAAATGTATATTTCGAGGTGTTACAAACGGAATGACAAACGTAATATAACCTCCATACTATGGTGGAGGGTATAAAAATTCACGTAAAAAAGCATGACCTTAACGTTGAAAAAAAAAAGAAACAGAAGAAATTATATTTACTTTCTTAATGGAAAGTTTACTTAATTGGATCTGCATCTTGGATTTGTTGTTGTTTTTGTCATTGAATTTTCCTGCCATTTCTAGACTTAATGCCATAATAAAAGCAATGCATCCTCTAGAAAACAGGAGAAAAGCTAATGTTATACGATCCGGCAAGTGAACTTTAACATTTTCAAGTGCTGCTGCCAAAGCTTATTTGTTTGATGTAATGCTGTTACACTCTGCAACTTATGTAGGAGTTTTTCTCTCGTTTTTTTTTGTTTTGCTTTCGTTTTCCATCTTTACATTTATCCTTATGCCATATTGTGTTTGTTTCTTTCATAAAATCCCACGCACTCACACACATACATACTCAAGTTTAAACTTCTCTCACCAGTCCTGATTGGAAAATAGGGTCAGAAACCTTCACAATACCGAAAATCAGCAGGATTTAATATAAGGTCCCGAAATGTCCAACTATGGTTGTTTTTGGTTAAAAATTAGAAACAAAACTCTCGAAAGCCCGAAAATCGGGAGGTATCTTTATATGGGGACTATACCAAAAAGTGACCATATAATTAATAGTGCGAGGCGTTAAACTACACACTTTTAAAAAAACAAATGTCAAATTACAGCTCATGTGGTTGAAATTTGAAACCAAAACTTCCGAAAATAAAATCAGGTTGCACCTCTGTGTGGGGGCTATACCAAACAATTGGGATACGTTGAATATTTTTTTTTTTTTTTGAGGAGTTAAATTACCTACAGATACCAAAACCTGCATCTACATTTTGTTTTTTTTTCAGTGATTTAAAAATGCCTCCTGAAAACCTGAAATATCAAATATCAGTTGTTTTGTTATGAAATAGATACCATAGCTTTCTAATTGTCGAAAATTTGAGCTACCGTTATAGGAGAGCTACGCCAAAATATGGGACGATATAGTCCATTTTCATAAACAAATATCTGTTACACTCTGCAACTTATGTAGGAGTTTTTCTCTCGTTTTTTTTGTTTTGCTTTCGTTTTCCATCTTTACATTTATCCTTATGCCATATTGTGTTTGTTTCTTTCATAAAATCCCACGCACTCACACACATACATACTCAAGTTTAAACTTCTCTCACCAGTCCTGATGGTGCATTATAAGCCCTTTGGTATAAAAGTTAATATATACTTACTTATATATTTACTTTACTTACTGCCATGGGATGTAAGCACTATGAGTGGTAGGTAGTTGGGTTGATAGGCGAGTTGGGAAGATAGGTAGCATCAAATATGTCTCATTTTGATTAACTTGATGTAAAATGCCACTAGCCATTGCTCGCCCTGCTAGTGATGTAAAAATCGATTGCATTGCCAATAAGAATAATAAAAAAAATAATAATTAAATGATTCCTCCATTATTTAATGGCTTATGATTCGATTGCCTTCAAATGCAACTAATGTGGGCTTTTACGACGAGGAAGACACAATGGCGTACATGAGAACAATAAATTATTTTGTGTCATCCAGCCATGGAGGGCAGGCTACTCGCCCTCAGGGTCGTTGATAGTTGTTTTTTTTTGTCTTGGTGTCTGTCTCTCTTTTGCCTTGTGTCATTAACAATTCACCTTGAAATGTTCAAGGAGTCGCGTGGTGGCAGTGTGAAAACGTA